GAACATGTGCACAGTTCGAACATCGCGTGCTCTCATCTCGTTTAGTCTCATTGCTTATATTACAAATTATTATAAAGAGGTAAGGCCTCGTGCCAAAACTCACAGCCGCAGTGACGAAGGACACGCGAGAACTGAGAGATTACGATCTTATGATCTCTTGGTTTGCGCCAGAGTGGCATTTAATTCAACTTTCAAATGAAATCTACTAATTTTGATGACCATTGCTGCTGGGAAAGTGTAGGAAAACGCGGAAGAACTGTACTTCTTTTGTTAACTTTTCGCGCAGTGCTTTTGCCTATAGTACTAATACTGAGGATTTTCACTGTTACTGCCAATTTCTGTGCGAAGATACAGTTGACGGTGTGAGCGTTTTGTCGAATCTGTGGGTTACAGAAAACAGATTAATTGCCGAACTAATCCTCGTTCTGTATAGATGCTTAGGATGTAATAAAGTCGTAACTGATTCAAAAGTAAACCAGAATGTCTGTGGTCATGTCCTGCATTCATGTTGAGTAGGGTTTTCTACTGTGCTTTGATACGGGTTTTCCGAGAAACCTTAATTTTGAACAGACAGTTAATGGTGGTGCATGTAAGTTTTAATTTCAAGTACATACAATTAAATGCATGTTTTTAGGCGATGTACAAAGTGTACACGTATACTTAGCAAAAAATTCTCAACAAAAACGTTACCTTCAAGTAGCGCTACTTTCGGCTATGCGTAATGGAGACTAGCGAGTCGACTAGCACCTCTGGATATAAGATTAGAAGTTAAAGAGTGCAGATGTAGACTAATCACTCGCAATACAGAACTAGCGCATCTATACAACTATGTTGGTTTAATGCAGCTGATAATTTCTATTCGTGTAAAGAGAATGAGTTGTATAATCGTATTCGACAGTATTAGCCATCCATAAATTCTTCTTTTTTGACACAGGTTTTATTCCAGATACTGCAGCTACTCTAACAAATGTCTCTTTGTATTGTTGTTAAACTTTGAGTAAGACTTTTATGATAGAGTTCTACCAATGCCTCTTGTGAGGCGTCATACTGGCTTGATCTATTTTTGATTTTAACTTGTTGTATTATTTTATTTATAAAATTGGGTGCGTTTTATCTAATTAAAAATACATGAATTAAGCACAAAAAGACAAAGATTACATAGAAGCAAAAACGAAATATAAAATGATTGAAAATCCCATAACGAATAATCTATTAGAAAAGTCATGTCAATAGTCTATCGATATTTTTTACGAGCGAAACGTTTTTATCGTGTTCATTGTCGAGCAAGATCAAAACTAAATCGAATTTTAAAGATAATATGTATCATTATTATTGCACTAGTGATTATGAATTTAATCAATGTGACGTTGTTTAGCACTATTTTGTATATGCAAGAAAATTCAGATGAACCAGATTATGACCATGGTATGTTCATTCTTATGTGTTCAATAAGCCATCTATATTTTTATTTTATTCATTTTAGATACTCGTCCTTATTATAAACAAATTGAAAATAAAAAACGTTTTGATTCATCTGGAAATTATTTGATTGTAACAAATTTTCTAACTTATCATAGTAACTCGACAGTTCGTACTGATTTATTATCATTAAATTTACATTGTAACATCGATCAGTTAGATATGCTTGTATTGTATGCTAAATTATGGTCTGGACCGATTAGTATTGCAGTGTATGTCAAAGGAACAAAAGCATCAGATCATATTGATTATGCATCGATGTGGTTCAGATGTAATAGAAAACTATTTAAACATTTATCTGTTCATCTAGTTATATCAGCAACAGCTTATGAAAGTAAATATGATGTTCTAAGCTAATCTTGTAGAAAAATACTCCTCAATTAATTCTTGATATTATCTAATTACAATTATAGAGTTAAATATGAGAGACAGATTATATGGTAAATATAGTATACAGTTTGGATTATTATAATATCATTTAGCTTTATTTTCGGCAAACCATGTATAAGCTTCTCTCTGGTGTCGTTCTTGGTGTGTACAGATGTTTTGTTCGTTTTTAGGATCTCTCTCTGGTCAACAACATTCTCGTGATGTCAAATATGCTGTAAATTGTGCTCACATTCGTTATGTCAATCATACTTCTGAAATGGACACGACTCCTTATCCAACCAATTTACTGAGAAATGTTGCACGTCAAGGTTTCAATGTTCCCTATATGTTAAATCTCGATATTGATATTATTCCATCTCCAGATTTATTTCATGATTTAATTCTTTTTCTAACCAATACTCCTGCTGATAATCAAGAATATTTAAATCGTACCGTCTATGTAATACCTGTATTTGAAATTCATTCAGCTTTTTTGGAAAAACAACCATTGCCTCAAAATAAACGTGAATTATTACTATTATGGAATGATAAACAAATTCAACCGTATCAAACAAACATTTGTCCACAATGTCAACAGTCAACAAATTATGCAGCATGGAAAGAAGCTGTTCATAATGATCAAGTTGTACCTTTGTTTAAACCACATTATTCTGCACCATGGGAACCAATATATATAGGACCTATCGGTGTACCACAGTATGATCAACGATTTAAACAACATGCACACGCTCGAATTAGTCAGGTAAGAATAGGGTGGATTGTACAAAATATTAACTAATTTTTACTTAGATGAAAGGAGTGTACATCAAAATTCTAGACTTTGATAGTTTTATATTTCACTGTGTAAATTGTCTGCCTCAGAAGAAAAATGTCAGTTTGTCTTGTGTAATGGTAATTTGAGAAAGTGCTTACTGCTACTATCCATTTCAGATAGAATGCAGTTCATTGTTTTCTGAATAACTTTTTGATAGAAATGAGGTAGAGACTTGTGGTTTTCCCCATTATCTAGAGAAAATCTGATGAAAGATATCAAGTTGCTGGCACAACCTGAAGTGGGTGCATCTGGCAAGTCATTAGAAGAAGAGAACGTTTTCTTTGATTTCTCTAAAGATCTCAATGTTTAAAACACTCGGTATATAGCCTAGGGTACTCTCTATCGATGTACCCAAGTCCGGAAATCAAAGAGCAACACACTCTTCTTTCAACGACTTGCCATGTGCACCCATTTTCAGGTTGTTCTAACAACTTTAGTTTTCCATAGGTATCTTCCATCAGGTCTTCTCTAGACAATGGATAAAATCGCAAATCTCTATATTCAAAAACCTAAAGTATTTTTAAAAACTGAAAGTGCATTCATTTCTGAAGTAGATTTGAAACCGATATTACTAACTCGAATGAGAATTATCTCTCAACAAATATCTCAGTCATATTTTGTTTACAAATCTATATTTTTCTCGTTTCAAAACCGAAAGCAGAGCCCTACAGGTTGATCCTAACCTAACCTAACCTATAGGTTAGGTTAGGATTAAGTTGCAAAAGTTACAGGCTAGGTTAGGTTATAGGTTGCTCTATTTTTTTTTCAATGGTTAGGTTAGGATTAGGTTGTCGAATCCATAGGTTAGGTTAGGATTAGGTTGTGAAATTTTTTATAGGTTAGGTTATAGGTTGCCAAATATTGGCAACCTGCAGGGCTCTGACCAAAAGGAACCAAAATTGTATATTATTGTATAATAAACTTATTCTTATATCAATCGTATATTATATATATTATATAAAACTTATTATACGATAATATACGATTTTGGTCCCTTTCGGTTTTGAAATGAGAAAAACATAGATTTGTAAACAAAATATGATTGAGATATTATGTTGAGAGATAATTCTCATTCGAGTTAGTAATATCGGTTTCAAATCTACTTCAGAAATGAATGCACTTTCAGTTTTAAAAAATACTTTAGGTTTTTTTCTTTGTCAATAGTCGGCAATCATTTGAAATCAACGAGTAATACGAAAGTATGTGAAAAGGACAAATTTTCTATTCCGAGTTCAGATCACATATTATGTCTATAAGAAATGAAAACATTTCTCCATTCAAAATTGAGACCACTTTTTAAATTTAATTCATAAACATGTTAAAAATATGGTCTCAATAATAAAACTTCGAACTGTATTCTATTTTGAAATGGATAGTAATTTAAAGATTTTTATAAATGCACTTTTATGGGAATTATCGAAATTATTTTGATCTCTTTTTTTTTTTAGTGTTGTGAAACTTATCTCGCAGGTTATGATTATGCTGTGTTGAACAATGTATTTTTATATCGTAAAGGTTTTCTTGATAAAAGTAAAGTACAATCAACAGAATTAATTGATGATGAAACATCAAAATTGTTATATGAACAATTTAAAGAGGATACGCGTCTTCGATATTCAGATACATCTAGAAAATGTTAAATCTTATTGTTATCTCATTAAATTTTAGACTTATTTTTTTGTCTTCTGCAAGAAGAAAAATAAGTCTCATTTTTATTCTTTCTGATGTGTAGTCTTCTAGTTTGTTAATATGATTTTGAAGTTTATTTTTTTCTATTTCTTTTTTCAATAAAAAAAAGTGTAATACACATGATGATTTCGTAGTTTAGGAGCATATTTATATTTTATATGTCCTCTTTCTATCAGAATTAGTAGATTCTTGATACAGATGCAAGAAATTCACAGCATTTTTAAAATCCTACAACAAATCTCTGATCAATCTTGCTCAATCAATCTAACCTTTTTTACTATCGCTAAAAGAAACCATTGTGTTATTCATTAACTATTTCATTTTTAGATTTATTTTTTTCTCAAATTTGTGTAATGTTATGCAGCAGGGTATGGAGAAAGATTAAAACTTATCTTCTATGATATTTTATGTTTCTTTTATATCGATTTAGTTGTAAGACGAAATATTAGTTATGAAATTCAGGCAGATGATGGTACTGAGTATGCTATTCAAACATCACCATCATTATCGGTAAAAAATCGTATTCAGAATTATCTTGGTTTTCCAAAATCTGTTCAAGGTGAACAATATGATAATGAACATTATTGGCGTAAGTTGTTTGTCAGTAAACATCATATAAAGTTTCTATTGGTGAATATTTCATCTTCAGATGTTAACCATTTATTGGCTGCTGTTGTGTTTATTGAAGATGCTATTAATTATCGTACAATTAATCATAAAGTAACACGAAAATATTTACTCGTCTATCGATGGTTTTCAAGTAAACCAATTCGACTGTATATTTAATATTTTCGTATATCAAACATCATGTCTAAATTTAGTTTCCATTTTAGTTTACATCGTGTGGCATTATTTGTTAATTTATTATTGGCATTTATTGAAAAACCCTCATCATTTAGTTATACCTCCGATGTACGTTATCAACCTCATCGTTATGAATTTTCACGTGGTTTTATCATGTTTATAGAAATTTTAACATTAGGCCTATTTTCATTGTATATAGCAACAAAAGTTAGTTTTTCAGTCAAATCTATTTTCTCTTCTTATAATTTTTGTCCGTATTTAGATATCATTTGTCGGTATAAAACATGCGCGAAGAAAATTTTGGATAGTAGCATTTTTTCTAACATTAATTTATTCGATATGTGAATGGTTTGCATTTGTTGCGTTAGTTAGTCAAGTACATCAAGGGGTATATATAGGAAAATAAGAAGAAAACTCTATTTTAACCATTTTACTGTTTTATTATTTTTAGATTCGTTTACGTCGTATATTTCGACCAATATTTATGATTGAATCATCTCAATTGATAAAAAAAGCATTGAAATCAGTGCAGAAAGATTCTCTAACTATAATTGCGTATGTATTTGTTCTTAGTGTGATACATATTGAACATTAGACATATTTTATTTGAAATCTAATGTGCTATTTAGATGTATTGTTATGGCCTTAACTCATATACTCTTTTTTGCTGTTCTCGCTATGTTTTTATTTCCTCGATCAGATGTAAGATTAATGATTCTATTTCTTCATTCTAATAACAGAAGATTTTTTGTTTACTCTTAGACTCGTAAAGATAGTCAAGGCAGCACTTATTTTAGCAACTTACATGATACAGTGTTTCATTTACTCGTACTTTATTCAACAGCAAACAATCCAGATGGCATGTTTTTTGTTTTTTATTCAATTTATTTTTCTCATCAATGTTTAGTTTTGTTTTTTGTTTCAGTTATGATGCCAGCCTATTCTGATCAGCGTCTTACCTCATTTTTTTTCATTATTTTTGTCATTATTGGTAACTATACGTAAAAAAAAGTAAATAAAGGTTTTTTATGTAAACATTTCACTAATGAGCATCTGTGCTTTATTATATTTTCAGGAATATATTGGATTCAAAATATTATTACAGCCGTTGTTTATAGAGCATTTCGGGGCTACTTTTTGGTATGTTCTTATTGGATATATTTGGATATAAAGAAAAACAATAATATCTATCAACTTTAGGCATCAATTATAAACTCTCAATTACGACGTCGTTCAGCAACGCGTGCTGCCTATGAAATATTGACAACGCGTATGACATACGATGGAAGACCAGAAACAAAGTAACAATCAACTTCTATTATATGAGTTTGAAATGTGTTATTTTACATTTATTGATAGAGAATATGTTCCAATATCAATAATTCGAACAGTAATCAATACAGCTACAATGAAATACTGGCATAGAACAAAAATAAATGAAGTATGTTCTAAATTGTAATTAGATCAGTAAGAGTCTGACTAAAAGTTAATAGTTCGAAAATTCATTTATCACAAAGTTCTTTTTACTCTTTTTGTTGTCTATTCAACTGTATTTTGTTTTTATTTTAATAGAATTTCTTCCTCAAACTCCACTAAACTCTTTCGCTTTTGATTGTAGAAATTGGCTACAGCTGCACGACATAAACCAATGTTAACATTTGATGAATATTCAGATGTGATGAAAATTTTAGATTTAAATCCATCTTTATCTACAGTAAGTTTTCTGTGATAATGAGACAGAGTCCAGCAAGAAAATAGTGCCAGGTAGTTTGTCTCGATTTAACTGAAACATAGATTTTACTGACATCAATCCGTTATTCACCTGTAATGCCTTTATAGTACTGTTCTCAAGATCCCACATTTCCAGCTAAAGAAATTCTTAATAGTTTGTAGATTAGATTGAATTATGTAAGTATAAAAATTTTCAGATCTAACAAACAAGTTTCGAATAAAAACGAGATCTTTAAGTACAAAAAACGTAACTTAATGTGATCCACGAACTTCTTATATAAGAATCTCTTTAGCTGGAAATGTGAGGTACTACAAAGGCATACAGGTAAAAACGGATAACGAATTGCTGATCAGTAAAATCTATGTTTCAGTCAAATCGAGGTGAATTACCTGGGAATGTTTCTTTGTATTATGAATTTTGTTTTGTCTATTAAAGGATTTACAAATGGATTCATTGGGATCAGATTGGCGTAGTCGTTTGAAGTCTATTGGTCGTTCAATGTTGTTCGATCGAATTGGAACGATTATGGCATTAATCAGTGTTATACTAGTAACGGTAAATCAACTGCAAAAACATTATACCAATTCTTCAATCGTATGCTACATTTCTTTAGGTCGAAGTAAATATTCGTCATTTTCACGTGAATCCTGAAGATACATTTACAAAAAGTCTTCCAGTTGGTGTATGTATTTTTGAATATTTCGCTAACTGAATAATTACATTATTTACGTCTGTTTAGTTGACAAATCTAGGTTTTATGATTTATTTTTGCTTTGAATTTGCATTTAAAATATGGGCATTCGGTTATAAAAAATACGTTCAATCTACAATAAATATTTTTGAAACAATTGTTGCTTGTACATGTCTTGTAAGTTGTTTGTTGTCTATTTGCCTTATTTACTCATATAATCTTTTATTTCCAGATTTTACAAATAGTTCATATATCTATCCATGGTTCACCTGTTATTAGTCCAGGGTGAGTTCATATTTGACACGTTGAGATATTTTTTTATAATTTTGGTTTTGTTACTATAGTGAACTCGATTCTACAGAAGAAAATGTTCATTTTACACTATGGTCAATAACTAAAATTTGCAACATGCTATTTATATACAGAATGATTCGGTTTTTACCATCATTCAAAGTAAGATCTTCGTTTTTAGACAAATAAACAGCTATGTAATCTACTTTTTCGATTCTAGAACATTCGAATTGTCGTTGGTACAGTTGTTGATGAGTTTCGTAATGGTGGTGCTTTCTTTGGCGTATTATTGGTAAATGAATTGAATGATTAAGCAGTAGAAATCTACATATTTAAAGAGTTAACTTAATCTAAGAACGGACGAAGAAAGCAATCTACCCTGTTCAGTCCATGTTCGAATTTTTAATTAAAAACTTTATCATGGGTAGTGGAAACATCTAGAAAAAGTCTTAATATTTTTTGACCGGAACATACGTCTTTGAGAAATTATAGAATTTTTTATAAAAGCCTAAAACAATAACTTTACAAAGAATGCAATTTGTTCTGCTTATATACTGATATAGACAGTGAATTAAGAGCTCTTATTTGCAGTATAGGTAGTACAGATCGAGTTCTGTCTATAATCAGAAGTATTTGCGCATCCAATGTGACACATATGCAGGTTCATGTCTGCAAAGTGAGACGATATTCAAAACGTCCGTACTTCTTGCCTATTTTTTCGTATGAAACGTGAGTTAAAGTGAGTAGAATACACGATGTTCTACCAAAATTTTTATAATTTTGATTTCAAAAAGTTTGTGCACTAGGATCGCAGGCCATTGATAGAGTAGACATAGAGTATTTTAATAATTAAACTTTTAAGCCCTTACAAAGCATTTGTTATACAAACTCTTATAGTCGTTTACTTGACCATTTCAATTATCTGGCGATAACGTGCGTGTTGGAGCATTTTTGACTAGAAGTCTGCGAGACCAAACGTTTATGGTCTCGACCCCGTTCTCGGTCTCATGAAGAAAAAAAGTTTTGGACCTAGTCCCGGTTTCGTACACTTGTAGCTTTAGCTGTTTTCGCAAACATTTGAACTTTCATCAAACTGTATCAGCACGACAATGATTTAGACTAATCTGAAAAATAGCACTATTACGATGAGATTATTAATTTAAGACTTTTAGACTGTTGTGTGAGTTCTTTTTCATAAAACTAGTGCTCAAAAGCTACAGAAACTAAGAAATTTTTATGCTTCATACAAGCCTATTATCAAAAAAAACCTGGTCTCGGTAAAAAGTCTCGCGAGACAAGAACCATCTCTCAGACCTCTATTTTTTGGTAGCTGGAGTAATGTTCTTTACCAATTCATACTTTTGTTCAAATTTTTGCAGAAAAGTCTAGAAACGTTGTTTATTTTTTGGGCCCTTCGATTGTGTTAGATGATATTTCCTCTTGTCATAACTTTTGACGAAAGCACTTCATAAGCAAACAATTTTTCAAAATCTTTTAAAAATATGTTTCCACTATCAATAATAAAAGTTCGAACATCGATTAAGTACTTAGATCATTGGCTGTTAAACAGTCTATTATAATTCACAGCAGGACTCTGTTTGAGGTTGTTGTCTATAGAGATGATAAAGCAGAGTTTAAATGTTTTATACTTACTTCACTGATATAGTATTGAGAATTTATTCATTCAAGTTATCATATACGTTCTATTCTTGCAGATTTTTTACTATTTCTATGCAATGATTGGTATGGAAATATTTAATGGTTCGATTGATCAACTTTATGCAAAGTACAATAGTACGAATATAACGTAAGTATTTTGTCAAAATTTTTACCATAATTTTATCTGATCTTTTTTCCGTCGTTTGAAGTGTATGTGGCTCCTATGAACAACTTGAATATTGGCCAAATAATTTTAATGATTTTTATGTAAGTTTTAACTACTAGTTGATAATCACTGATAAATTGCTAATAAACTTGAAAAATATAAATAGTTCACTATCTGACTATAATAAACTTGTTTCGTCTATTTTTAGTCA